TTTCTAGCTTTTTTTCTTTACCCTCTCTTTCCTTAGATATTATATCTCAACAAGCTGTCCAATGTCGCCACCAATCTCCATCACAATAAGCCCAAACAAAGAGAGCCACGCTCTGGAGATAACCTCCGATCATTCTATGAACTTTTTGAAAGCATATTTCTAGCTTTTTTTCTTTACCCTCTCTTTCCTTAGATATTATATCTCAACAAGCTGTCCAATGTCGCCACCAATCTCCATCACAATAAGCCCAAACAAAGAGAGCCACGCTCTGGAGATAACCTCCGATCATTCTATGAACTTTTTGAAAGCATAATAATACCAATCCAAATAATTCATCAAATCTTTTTCTTTTCCTAGAATCAGGTACTCCGCGGTAATCATGACCTCCCACCACCCACTCCTCCGATCACGACGTCGAGCTCAAGCAGCAGCCGCCGACGACCAGGCCTCCACCGCCATCCAAGCGCAGGTGGCCAACACGAAGACAACCTCCTGCGGCCCCACGCATCCGTCCTAAATGTGGCAGCTTCGGGCCGCATGCGTCCGCCCCGACCTGCAGCGACAACCAGCTCCGCTACGTCGGCGGCGGGACAGCGCCGCATAGTCAGCGCGTCCACCGCAACTGCACCCTTCTCCAGCCTCCTCTCGCAAAGCTCGCCAAGGTTCACCTCCACAGCCGAACATTCAACCCGTCAAGTACCAAGCTCCCACAACGAAGACCATCGAACAGCGTTCCGCTGATATCCGTCAAAACCCGACGAGGAACGTCGACAACATGAATGGAATGGAGTACGACCGCCTGCTGGCCAACGGAAACTTCCGTTTAATTCTCGAATGCGAGACGTCCGCCTGTTCCTCTTCCCCTCTGACGGGCGGTGAGGCGTTCGGTTGCGATCCTCAGCGGACCGGCGGGTCGAAGAACAGACACGAGCACTGGTTCGTCGACATGCTCAATGGCCGCCCACTGGAACGAGGCAGGTCCGAGGCCTCTTCAATTATGTCGGAGGTCCCCGACTACTTGTTTGGTCTAGACAACAATTCAGATGAACCTATAAAACCGATGAAAACAAATGTATCAGTTTCGGACCCTGGCTCGCCGTCTCCGGCTGTGTCGTCGCCCCACTATTCGCCAGTTGAGAACAAACCGGAAGTCGTTGACAATCCGGTCGTGCCGCAACCTGCTTGGCAGTACGTCGAACAGGTTCCGGCGGTTTATTACGTGCCTGGTCCGGCTCAAGGCGGTAGCTTGCCAGTTAGACCCGTTCAGATGTCGATTCCGTACGTGCAACCTGTGCAGCCGGCGATGCATGGGCAAATTCCGGTCGGATACAGGCCAGTGTACATGCCAGGCGCATATGATTATCCGGTGGGGCCCTCTGGGGGGAGGCTGGAGACGTATGACGCGGCGTCTGGTGGTGGTGGTTTGACGAGGAACAATCCGGCGATGATGCCGGTGTACCGTCAGGCCGGAGAATGACCGGTGATAAGTGGTTCAGATATAAGAATTGCGAGGAATTCTCAGTGACGTTGAGAATTGACTTGAGGTTATGGGTAATGTATGGTCATTATCATCCTGTATCAAGATTTCTTTGTATTGGTTGAATGTAATGTGTGCTTATCATATTCTGAAGAATGTACATGGACATGGACCATGGAGGCTTGCTTGCAATATGCATGTTTATAATTGTGTGTGTTTATTAGATGGCCTACTTCTCGGAATCAGTATGATTTGTTGGATTGATGCGTTTGATGGTGTTCCCATAGTATTGTGTTTCTTGGATTGGAGATATTTAGTTGTTGTTTAATTTTGTGCTGTAAAAATGGGTCTGAACGGCTTTGCAACTGGCTAGATGTGACTTGTATGATCACAGTGATTTCCGAATCTGGTTCAAAGTCAACATCTCTTTTGTTATATTCTCTTTGATGCTTGTATATTGAACCCTGCGACAAGTGTGGGCATGCGTTAGGAGCGAGAGAGGTCAAATACCGTTAATATTAAGATGCAGTACTTTTAAGGCTAACTAGTATAGTGTAAGTGCGATTGCACATAAACACACTTATTTTATATTAATTTACTTATAAAATAGGAAGATAAGTAAGTCATTTAAAGGAAAAGAAAGATTTAAATTATCAGAAAAAAACTTTTGATGGTGTTGATAATAGTGTATTGTAGTGGGTTTTAGTCCCACATTGCTTGGGAGAACAAACCTCACACTCCTCTACTTGTATAAATATATGTGCACACTCAATATTCAATTCAAGGGAAATTTACCCAAGATTCTCTCTCTCTCTCTTACTTTAACATGGTATCAGAGCTAGGGCTATTTCCCTTTCAATAAAATTTTTAACGCTTTTGCGTTCTTTTGCCAAATCTTGGCCTTATTGCTTTGCAGCCGTTTAATGTTTTATTTTTTTTATTTTTATTTTTAATTATTTGGCGTTCATCTGCCAGATATTTTGGCCTTGTCGTTTTGCGGCCTCTTAACGCGTTTCGCGTTCTCGTTTAACCTTCGGGTTCTATTTTAAACCTTCGGGTTTCATTCTAACCTTCGGGTTCTATTTTAAACCTTCGGGTTTCATTCTAACCTTCGGGTTCTATTTTAACGGCATTGTCGTTTCAAGACCGTCTCTCGGTCTCAAATTAACGGCATCGTCGTTTCAAGCCGTCTCTCGGCCTCAAACGAACGACATTAGTAACAGCATCTCGACATCTTAACGTCTCAAGATTGCTGTTATGGCTCCTTCAGAGAAGATTCCCAAACCACCTTTGCCCCTCAATGATCAAAGTGACTGGGCAGGGTGGTCCACCATTGTCACCAATGCCTTGCGTGGCGCTGGTTTGCTTGATCATCTCACCAGTACGGGACCAGTTCCACCGTCCATCAGCACTGTTGCTTCATCCAGTACTATTGCCTCTGGCAGTGGTGATGTCGATCTTCAGACTGCTCGTGCTCTCTATGTCAAGGAGAGTTCAGAGTGGCAATTGCAGGAATTTCGTGTTATGGATTATCTCACTCGCTGTGTTGGCTCTGGTCTCACTGTCGAGATTGGCTCGCTTCCCTCTGCTCAGGCCATGTGGACTCGTCTCACTGAGCGTTTCACTGAGTGCTCGGGTGCACGGGAGGCATATCTTCTGCAACGCATTTCTCTACAACGCAAAGGTAGTTCATCTCTGCAGTCCCATTTTGGACAAATGCAAGCTTTTTGGACAGAGTTACGCTCCATGCTTCCTGGACGTAATTCCACATATGAAGACTGGCTAGCCTGGTACGAACGGCATGAGGTGCATCAATTGTTTCAGTCCCTTCCTGAATATTCAACTATGGCTGATCAACTACTTCACCAGCCTCAATTTCCGACTTTGGCCTCAGTTATGGGAGCTCTCACTGCTTATGAGACCCGGCAGCAGACAGCACGACTCAATTTGTCAACAGACACTCCTACCTCTTCACTCGAGACTGTTTTGTCTGTACCTGTCACTGCTCCTGTTATGAATTATACTTCTCCACAGGCTCCCTCTCCACAGGCTCGATCTAAGCTCTCTTGCAAATATTGTAAGAAGGAAGGACACCGCATTGAGACATGCTTCAAGCTTCATCCTGAGTTACGTTCCTCAGGTACTGGACGTGGTCGGCGACCCCCTCAGTCTCAACCCTCTCGTACACCAGGATTGTTGGCCAATGCTATACCTTCTACTACTTCAGACTCTACTATTCAAGCTATTGAAAGTCTTCGCCGTCAACTTGATGCTTTTCAACATATCACCTCTACATCCGCCGCACAACTCTCTGGTATGCATTTTGCTGGTTCTTCAGCTAATCCTTCAGTCTCTGGTATGAATGATCTCTGGATTTTTGACTCTGGTTGTTCCTTTCATATGACTTGTAATGCCTCACTTTTATCCTCTGTCTTTACTTCATCCTCTCTTCCTCCTATCTACACAGCTGCTGGACAACCATTGTCCATTACTCAGTATGGCTCTATTACCCCACAAAATGATCCATCTGGTCGTCTAACACTTGGTCCCGTCTATGTGGCTCCACAATTGTGCTTGAATTTAATTTCTATTAGCTCTTTATGCATGGCGGGCCTGTTTGTCTCATTTTCTTCTGATACTTGTATTGTGCAGGATCCACAGACGGGCAAGACGGTTGGGGCGGGTCGTAGGAGGCACAAACTGTATTTTCTGGAATATCTTCACCTTCCAGAGTCCATACGTCCACGTTCTCTTGTTGCTTCTCTTTGTTCGTCAAAACCCTCTACCTCGCTTCCTGCCAATTTATGGCATAGACGACTTGGTCATGTGTGTAATAAAAGGCTGGAGAGTCTTATTCAGTCTGGAGTACTTGGTCCTGTATCATCTAGTTCTAGTATTGAGTCATGTGCTGGTTGCAAATTGGCTAAATTCACTGCTTTACCATTTAAAATGAGTACATCTGTATCCACTTCCTTATTTGATTTAGTACATTCTGATATTTGGGGGCCAGCTCCTTTGCCTTCTTCATCTGGCTACTTATATTATGTTAGTTTTATCGACGATTTCTCTCGTTTTACATGGGTTTACCTACTTAAGAATCGCTCTGACGTACTTACTGCTTATCAAGCCTTCACTGCTATGATTTTCACTCAATGGCAATCTCGTATTAAAGTTTTTCGTTCTGATTGTGCCAAAGAGTACCTATCCTCTGCCATGCGCTCTATCATGTCCTCTCATGGGACTATCTTTCAACAGTCATGTCCCTACACTCATGAGCAAAATGGTGTTGCTGAACGCAAACATCGTCATATCCTCGATACTGCCCGATCAATGCTCATTTCTTACTCTGTTCCTCGTCGTTTCTGGGCTGAGGCTATTCTCACCGCGACTCATGCCATTAATATCACTCCATCTAGCTCTCTTTCCGGTGCTACTCCTTATAGTCGTGTTTATACTCATCCTCCCCGTTATGATCTAGTTCGCGTTTTTGGTTGTCGATGTTTTGTTTTTCTGCCATCTCACGAACGTGATAAATTGTCTCCCAGAGCAGTTTCTTGTGTTTATTTAGGAATTAGTTCAGAACATCGAGGTTATCGTTGTTATGATCCCGCAACTCGTCGAGTTCATATATCTCGTCATGTTCAGTTCGAAGAGGATTCTCCATATTATTCTACTTCTGATGACTTTAATTTCCTCCACTCTACCGATCATGCTTCCCCGTCCACTGCATCACCCACTTCTTCACCTCAATTTTCCTTTCGAGATCTCCCTGACATCTCTCCCTCTCCTTCTGTTGACTCTTCCTCACCTGAGTCTTCTCTTACACCATCTAATCCATATCCTGTGGACACAACTCTCACTCCAGAAAATACTGTTGATCTTCATGCACCTGCGCCAGCATCTCCCCCGCCTGAGGTTCCTCTTGCTCTTCGTCGAGGCAAACGCCCACATGTCATGCCTGCCCGGTATGCTTCTGTTACTTCTTATTCACCTATCTTTCATAACTTTCTTGCTGCCATTCATACTATTGTTGAGCCAAAGTCCTTCCAAGAGGCAGTTCAAATTCCAGAGTGGCGACAAGCTATGGCTGAGGAATTTCAAGCATTTCAGCAAACTCATACCTGGGATATTGTTCCCTGTCCTCCTGGGATCTCTCTTGTTGGCAGTAAATGGGTTTATAAGGTCAAGTTTCGTCCTGATGGCACCATTGAACGTCGAAAAGCTCGTTTAGTGGCTAGAGGTTTTACTCAGCAACAAGGTATTGATTATGAGGAGACCTTTGCTCCTGTTGCTCAGATGCCCACTGTGCGTACTCTCCTTGCGGTCGCTGCTGCTCATCGTTGGCCCTTATACCAGATGGATGTCAAAAATGCTTTTCTTCATGGCTCTTTATCAGAGACCGTATATATGCAACCGCCTCCAGGGTCAAATATTCCTCCGGGACATGTATGTCTCCTTCGTCGTGCTGTTTATGGTCTCAAACAGGCACCCCGCGCTTGGTTTGAGTGTTTTCGCGATGTTGTGCTCAAAGCGGGCTTTATAGAAAGTCATCAAGATGCTTCTCTGTTTGTTCGCACTACATCGCGTGGCAGGGTTTTATTACTCATCTATGTAGATGATATGATCATTACAGGTGATGATATGACAGGTATACAATACGCAAAATCTCAGTTGCAACAACAGTTCCACATGAAGGATCTTGGATCTCTTCGGTATTTCCTTGGTCTAGAAATTTCTCAAGGCCCGCGGGGTGTATTACTGTCTCAACAGAAGTATCTCTCAGATATTCTAAATCAAGCTGAGTTAACTGATAATACAACTGTCGATACTCCACTCCAGCAGAATGTCAAACTTTGCTCTACTGACGGTGAGCCTCTATCTGATCCTACCCGATATCGACATCTTGTTGGTCAGTTGGTCTATTTGTGCATCTCTCGACCAGATATCTCTCATGCTGTTGGTATTGTCAGTCAATTTGTTAGTGCCCCACGTTCTGTACACTATGCTGTCTTATTACGGATTCTTCGGTACCTCCGGGGTACTAGCACTCGCTCACTTTTGTTTCCTGCTACATCTAAGTTAGAGCTTTGTGCATATTCTGATGCTGATTGGGCTGGTGATCCAACTACCAGAAAGTCTACCACAGGTTATTGTATATTTCTTGGTGATTCCCTTATTTCCTGGCGAAGTAAGAAACAAGATGTTATTGCTCTTTCCAGTACTGAGGCAGAGTATCGTGCAA